ATTCATGCACTAAAGTTAAACCATGTTGTAGGAGACAGATGTTCTGGGTTGTGTTGCCGGTGTTGACTAAAAAGGCACTATTCCTTTGGATGATAAGGGATAGCAAAAGCACAGTTTCTTAACAAGCATGATTGGTTGTTAGCTCGGTTGTTAGTCAGTTATGAAAGTGAAATGACAACGAATTTGATAAACAGAAACATTGTCTTCTGCTCTACTCGAGCTTGAGGAAAATAAAAACTGCAGTGTGGTAAAACAAAGGTAGGATATCCTACCTTTAAAAGGCGTTAAGGCTCCAAAGGCATTACAATTTATGTTTTTTCGAAATATTTCTTTTTCATGGAACAAAATTAGATTCTGAAACCTATTTTCGTAATCTACGCGAAATTCCGCGTCAAACAAGCCTACATATGGTGGGGTTCTGTTCAAAAATGGCATAGATTGATTTCATTTTTTGTACTTTTTGACTTGCTTTTCATTTGCTGACCGCTTATCTGAACCCTATCACATGTGAGCTCGTTTGACGCGGAATTTTGCGAGGAATGCGATACTGAATTTAAAAATGTGATTGGTTTGCTCACATAGAAAATATTTTGAAGAAACTTAAAATTTACTCTTTAGCACCCCTGGCATACATGCGCAGCGTATGTACCGGAACGCAACATCGTCTACATACGAATAGTATGTGGCGCGCAAATCATACACATACGAACCTCATACGTTACCTGTATGAACAAATGGAGATCGTACATGGAACGAATACGTACGTATACGGTTCGTGAAAGTGTCGGGTTTACGGGGTGGCATCAGTCGTGGGAGACTTTTGGAATACACTTAGTAACAGAAGTACCAACCAGAGTCTTCAGAGACCTAAGGCACCCCTCTAGGACCCCAGGGACTCCTCTGGGACCTAAGATAGACCTCAGAGACCTTAGGTACTCGCCTGGGACCCCAGGGACTCCTCTGAGACCTTAAAACGCCGCCCCAACCACCGAAGACCTGAGGTAAGCGTCCAGGACCTCAGGTACCCCTTTGAGACCTAAGGTATCAGCCTAGGCCCACAGGGACCTGAGGTGCTCGCCTGGGACCTCAGGGCTCCCTCCGGGACCTTACTGTGCCGCCCCAACCACCGGGGACCTGAGGTAACCGTCTGGGACCTCAGGTACCCCTCTGGGACCTGAGGCACCAGCCTACACTGTAAATAAAAATCGTAATTTTCCGAAAAAATTCTGTCCGAATAGTTTGGAAACACGATTTTCCAAACAGTTGTTGGAAAACAAAATTTCCAGTCCAGTTCTTGGAAATTTCCGCCGAGATACCTTAAAATACATGTGTTACTAACAAACTTAACATAACTTTCGTTGTTATTTTTCAACAATTTTTTAACCTGGCAACTCCGTTTGTCGGAAGGGCAGGCATTCTTGTTTTAACTCGAGTCTAAACTTACCCAAAAAGCAAGCAACGCGGACCTGAGCCTGCATCGCTAACATGGCTGCCTTGAGTGACGGCCCCCAAGTGTCAGTATCGGCGACAGTCTCCGCACCCGGCTCCTGGTCCAGATTCTTCTTCTCAAGCACGCACGCAACCATGATGCACGTGACGTCCACAACGTGCTTCAGGGCTTCTCTATACTCCGACAGCAGCGGGCACTGCAACAGCAACTCCCTTTGCTATGCAAACCAAACTGTAGTTCAGGTATCGAAGCACTGCTTCGCTTAGGGCACTTACCATTGAACGTCTTCTGGGACTATGAAGAAATTTCTCGCAGCGACGTAACGACTGCACTAGTCCCCGCATGTCGCCGTTGGTGTGCATCAGCCTGAATGGCAGGATGCGAAAGGGTGCGAAAATAACAAGCCAGGCCCGCCCTTCAGCCAAACGAAGTTGACACCTTCACTTCGTTCCGCAGGCAACTCCGTTTGGCAGGGGCCGGGCCAAGCTTGGCCTCCCGGCGGCGTTTGGTCGAGCCTGTGGCCCGTCCTTTGAGTCACTTTGCGTATTTGAGTAAACTGAGGCTTCCGGGGAGGCCTTCGGCTCTGAAGATTTGCTCCCTGGACATGGGAAAAGACAGTGACGAGGCAACAGCGTGACTACAGCCCACCCTTCTGCTTTGCTTAAGAATAATTTTAAAAAATTCCAACTGCAGTTTCTGGCCCACCACTCTGCTATGAAAAGGCTACCATCCGGCGGGCTAATGCAAACGACCTCGTGTCTTTCTGTCTGTCCGTTCCAGCAGGTATCTTAAGATTCACTCCTAGAAAACGAAACGCCTACGGCAAATCCTGGCAACCACCCCTAAGGTGGGTGTCAAAGAAAAGGAGACCCGTCAATTTACACCTTTTCAAGGTCGCCTGAGGGTAACTCGTGAAAGTAGAACCGCTAAGACACGAGTTATTATAAATATACGCACCTCAGAATAACGTAAGTAACACTGTTAAAAGCTTATAGTGATTTCCACAGTAAGCTACGGGGAACCCCTGCAGCACCGTAGCCTACAGTGACATTCACCGTAGGCTACGGTGCTGCAGGGGTTCACCGTAGCTTACAGTGAAATTCACTGTAAGCTTTTAACAGTGAAGGTAGCGTTTTGAAAACGTTCGAGGAAAACAATACTGTATATTAATTTATACTTTTAATATACTTCGACCAGTCACACACGATGACACCCAACCTCTAACTCGGTATTTTAAGGAATGTTTTTTTTTCTATTTTCAGGCCTGTGATATGATTAATATGGCTTAGAATTTATCCGAACTTTGAGATACCAAAAATGATACTTCAAGTCCTTTACAGACCGTCTTACTCTAAATTTCGCAGCAGCTTACCAAAGCGAATGACTGAGGCGGAGTTAAACGCAAGGGTCGGTTTCAACACATTCTAACTAAAACAGGAGGAGCGACCAAAGTGCACTAAAAAGGAAGGAAAATGGTGACTTTAAGTGTCAAGGACTTTGTGTATAACACGATATGAAACAGAGGGTGTTAAACTACACACATGGATGCCTGTCTATTTAAAAACTCAGAGTTCATATCGGATCTGTATTTTCATTTTTCCTGACTTCAAAATAAAAAAATTCCCTTTTTCCCTCACATGTTTTAGCCCGTCCTTCTGCTTTGAAAAGGCTATCCAGCGGGCTTATGCCAACGACCTCGTGTGTGTCTGTGTGACTGTCTGTTCCACTAGACGGAGATGTGCTAGAGACTTGAAATTTTCAGGGTATCTTAAGGTCTACTCCTAGAGAACGAAACGCCTACGGCAAATCCTGGCAACCACCCCTAAGGGTGTGAATGGCGGTATCCAAGGTTCAAAAAGTCTCCCAAAAAGTATTTTTTTTCACGTTCTCCTAAGGGGTAACCCGACAAAGTAGAGCCCTCCGGGCGAAAATTTCGGCCGTTTTGCTCTATCTCTAACCGTTTAGGCGCCAGAGGGTCTTTTTTGACGAAAATAAGCTAAAAATTGCCATAGTGAACAATTAGTTGTAGAAGAAGGCCTAAAAACCGCAAAATAGGAAAGAAACTCTCCCCCCACAACCAAAAATCGTTTTCTAAGCAGAAGGGTGAGTTGTAGTCGCGGTGCTTCACCGTTATGTCCCTTTCTCGTGTCTACGGGGCAAACTCAAAGACGACGGGTTTAAGGGGGCCGAAGGCTGGCTACATCATTCTATCATGTTCTTCAGCAAATCAGGCCCGACCAACGCCGCCGGCAGGCCAAGCAGGCCCGGCCCCTGCCGAACGGAGTTGCCGGCGGATAGCGAAGCGGAGCTGCACGGAAATAAAAAGACTTACTTGTTACAACTAATAAATTAGCTAATTTTGGGAAAGACAAGAAATTCGCTGTGGCAGCTAATAGTTGGTTGCCACACACACGAGTTAGTTGCGCAACAACATATGCCACAGCGAAGCTGTCGCTGCAGGAGCCAATCTGTTCGTTTTGACTATTAATTGGGTGTTTTGCTGTCAGAACGAACCGATTGGCCCCTGCAGCGACAGCATCGCTGTGGCAACTAACTCTTGTCTGTGGCAACCAACTATTAGCTGCCACAGCAAATTTGGGTTTAGCTATCCCAAAATCAGCTAATTTGTTAGTTCTTTAGGTTAACTCTTAGAGAACGAAACGCCTGGCGAATCCTGGCAACCATACTTAAGGGTGTGAATGGGGGTATCCAAGGTTCAAATATTCGCCTAAATAGTCCTATGATATCTAAAAGGGTAACTCGTCAAAGTAGAGCAATTTGCCATGGTTGCCACAAAATTTTCATTTCCATTTTCCCTGAGTTTTCCCTGATTTCCAGACCATTTCACCCGAATTTCCCTGAGTTTTAGGCACCATTCCTGGTGAAGTACTGAGGCAAACTAATAGGGTAAGATGCCCTATGATGGCCACCTTAAGAATGGGCCTGCCCAATGATGGCCACCCCTTTTTCTTGTAATGTAGACAACGATGTGAAGTAGTTTGGCTTATTATGCCCAAGTAGGGACCTTACTAGAACACAACTTTAAGGCCAAGATTGTAAAGTGACCAGATTGGCTGGAAATCGAGAAAAGTGGCCATCAATAGACAGTGGCCACATAAGGGCACCTTACCCTACCCCTAACTGTAATACAAAGACCGCGAGCGAAGCGAGCGCGAAATCTTTTGGGACAAACCACCCTACTGGGACGTCAAAATGTGGATTTGACCAAAACGGCGAATAGACTGCGGTTTGGGGACCAGTCAGACCAATTTTCCCTGGCTTTTTTTCATTTTCCCTGAGTTTTCCCTGAAAGTTTAATTCCCTGAGTTTTCCAGGTTTTCAAGGTTTTCCAGAGTTGTGGCAACCATGTTTGCACAAAAATTTCGTCCGTTTGGGTGTATCTCTAACCGTTTAGGCGCTGGATAGTCTTTTTTTGACGAAAATGAGCTTTAAAATTGCTGTTGTGAGCAATAAGTTGTAGAAAAAGGCCTGAAAACCGCCAAATAGAAAAGAAACTCCCCCTACCCTCCCCCCACAAAAAAACAGCTACTAAGCAGAAGGGTGGGTTGTAGTCGAGATGCTTTACCGTTACATCCCTTTCTCGTGTCTACGGGGCAAATTTTAAAGACAACGCGTTTTAACGTGCCGAAGGCCCGTTACTTCATTTGATAATGTTCCTCATCAAACCGCGTGACTGACATGGTAGGGCCACAGGCCCAACCATCGCTGCTAGCAGGCCAAACAGGCTCAGCCCCTGCCGAACGGAGTTGCCAGCGGACCGAAGCGGAGCAGGCAACTCCGTTTGGTGAAAGGGCGGGCCTGCTTGTTTCGATACATGCATACCAAACGCCGCCGGCAGGTCAAGCTAGGCCCGGCCTCTGCCGAGCGGAGTTACCTATATATTTATGGACCGGCCCGGACCCAACAAGGGACCTCATGTAAGTGTTAGTCCCTGATTTTGTTCCGCCTTGGGAGTTTTGTAGAGTGACCGTATACAAAACGATTGGCAATGAAAATGCGTGCCCAAGTTCATATTCGTAGCTATAGGGGATATCCATTTTCTCAAGAAATGACTAAAAAAAGTATTTTTCTGAAAAATCCAAAAGTGATCCAGAGCTTCTATTCGGCATTAAATCGACATTTTAAAACTAAACAGAGGCTGTGGGTCAATTTTTGAT